TGGTCATGGTATACTGAGAGGACTGGTGTCGGTTACGGTATACTGAGAGGGCTGGTGTTGGTTATGGTATACTGAGAGGGCTGGTGTTGGTTATGGTATACTGAGAGGGCTGGTGTCGGTTACGATATACTGAGAGGACTGGTGTCGGTTACGGTATACTGAGAGGGCTGGTGTCGGTTACAGTATACTGAGAGGACTGGTGTCGGTTACGGTATACTGAGAGGACTGGTGTCGGTTACGGTATACTGAGAGGATTGGTGTTGGTCTGTTTTCAAGATGCATGACTCAGTTATGGCACCAGTTCTGAAATAATTGTGTAGAGTACAAGCAGTCAGCACAATTGATTTTACTGTAGATGACTGACTGCAATTTGAAAGTAAATCACTTGGAACGTGGAGGTAAGAATTCCAAGTGGAGTTTATACATCTTCTTCTGGAAAGGCAATAATTAGACTCTCATATAAGATAGGTGAATCAAATTCAAATGCTCTGGTCTTGATGATCCATTTGGAAGTTTCAATACACAAATAATATTATGGCCATATAAAATCTTAACAGTGTCAGTCTTTTATAAAAAAAACAACGACCCTAATTTCATGGTCAAGAATTTTAGCATTAATGCCGGCTTATCTATTGCAGGTGAAGTCTTCCTTATCGGTCTATCTTTTTTTCCCGAATTAATGGGGTAACCAACCCCACTAAATGTTGAAATTGGTCCACATCCATTCTCAGATATCTATGGAAACTGTGTTTGTCACTGTCTATGGGCTCTGGCATAACGAACTTGGCAGTAATGCACTTTCTTGATGATCCATGACCTCATCCAACATGACTTTAGTGTTTTCCTTTTCATTCAGAAGGTTATAAATAACAGCCACTGCAAGCTTATGTTTTGCAGAATTGAGGAAAACAAGCCAATTGGTGTGAAAATGTGAAAAGAATCAATAAGTGGGACCACAAAATCATATTGAAAAATCGTTTATGAAGGTTAAAGTTGCATTGAAAAGTTGAAACACTTGAAAAATTGACACATGAGACCTGGCACTAATGTGATCAACCTTTCAATCTTTGCTTTAGATGAAGCTGTCTTAATGTTGTTATCCTTTCAATTTTTGCTTTAAGCAAAGCAATTTTAATTAGGTTAACCATTCAAATCTTGGTATATATATATATATATATATCTTGATATATATCTTTTGGGGTCATTAAAATTCCAAAATCCTGAGCTGCAGCCCCCACGTTAACCTGACCCTAAATATAAAATACTTCTCTGAGAAATTGTAGGGTTTGGTTTTTCAGATGTGGAAATAAAAAAGTAAACTTGAATTATATTTTAAATGTATGTGAGAATACTATATTCATCAACTGTCAGAGTCAAACCCAGACTATGCGTTTTAAAAGACAATCATTTGTAAATGTTAACATTACTCATAAAATACACAGAGCCAGTTAACAGGAACTACATAAAATTTATATAACACATTTACAACTGCTACATTTACTGAATAAAAATGTTATAATCAACCAATCGGTGCAAATATACTTACTGGTGCCACTTTTTTTATTCATTTGTACGATAACCACCGATTTGACAAAATTTATTTTCATTAATCTTTAACCATAGATTACGAAGAGTTGGAAAAAAAAAGGAAGGAATTACACAGTTTTTCATAACTTTAATATATCTGACGTTGAATATGTAAAATAATGGCTTATATTCTACAATATCTGAGAAATCCTAATTACATACGCAACATACCTTAAATAACACTTTATTTAATTACTTCTTATTCACACGACAGTTTTTATCAAACTTTTCTTAACTGCTCCAGACCACTGCTTCATCCCAAGGCCCAGATATATGCCTGAAAATTAAAAATCAGAGCACCAAAAATAATGATTAAGGTGAACCCAACACTTACATGATATTACGAAAAAAAGACTTCTGACTAAATCTACTACCATTTGTATGAATAAAGTATATCTATTTTCCACGCTTCACGGGCATTTAAACATTAGTTACTGGCCTTAAACACAATTAAAAATGATGAGCAAAACATTTTAACTTTAACTATATAATATTCGATGACGAGGAACCCACTTTGAGACTAATAATGGCTGGAGACAAAACCTTGTCGAAACGTTGTACATTTTTTTCTTCATTACCCATTCAAGCCATTATTTAACTATATAATATATATTATACACATAAAGCATTGAAAATAATATATGGGGAGATGCTACCCTTTACCGTACAGTCACTAGTCACTGAACCAATCAGAAAATTTCAAATCAGTATATAATTATAGTCAATCATATTATGCCCAGTAGTAGCAGTGCTAGTTCCATCACCATAATTATAGTCAATCATATTATGCCCAGTAGTAGCAGTGCAAGTCCCATCACCAGAATTATAGTCAATCATATTATGCCCAGTAGTAGCAGTGCAAGTCCCATCACCATAATTATAGTCAATCATATTATGCCCAGTAGTAGCAGTGCAAGTCCCATCACCAGAATTATAGTCAATCATATTATGCCCAGTAGTAGCAGTGCAAGTCCCATCACGGCTCTCAGGAAGAAATGAGCACATCCAAGTTTCTTGCCAACATTCTAAAACCCTTGTCTCTAACTAGCCTAAAGAACTCAGCTCAATTCATCATTAAATATAATTCTCAAGTGTCTGTCCATCCGTCCTCCTCTATATCTATTAAATGCTAAGTATGGAACCACTAACTAAATCATAGAGAAAATTCTAAAAACGAATTTAGGAATAAAAGGTTAATTATATTTGTAGAAGAGCTTTTCCTTATTTAAAAACATTGGATTCTGCCATTTTAGTTTTTCCTTCTACTCATCTTTATTTTAAAGTTTTACCAGATAATTTCATATCCCTGGACAGCTAACAAAGTGGAAAATATTATTTTTCTACATATTATAAACTACATTTTGTAGTTTAGAATCTCTCAGTAAAAATGAGGATTTTTGTTTCTTTACTCAATTGTTTTGCTTTCATAAAGAATTCACTAAATGCCAAGGATAATGATTTCAATAACGACAAATAAAATAATTCTAAGAAAAATTAAATTCTATTTTTGTTTAACAATAGAGA